AACCAACAGCTGAATTGTGCTACTTTTGAAAACTTCCCCCAAGGACTCTGACATTGGCCTTGAGGCTAGTGAGGTGTATTGAGAGCTGCCGAAAATCAGGCATGAGTTGGGTTTTTATGCACACGCATACACACTTACCGGCTTAATTGATTACTTTCATAAAATCTTGTAAAGCTTTAGAACCCTTTTGTTTATTACTTATTGTACTTAATTATTTGCTATATTTACACACTACAATCCATTTAATTTTTTTATATAACACACTTAGTTGAATATTAATTAATCATTACTAGAAGCTAATTCATTATATTTTTATTAATACTGGAGCTTGTTGGCATTTATTTATTTAAAATATTTATATAACTGAAAGCGAAAGTGTTTATAAATGGAAATGTATATATTTCGTATATGAATCATGACTGAAGCTTTGCTTAAAGATAAAAGCTGGTAGAAGGAAAATGACGCTAAATTTATGATAGAAGTATGTATATCTACTAAATGAAGCGCTTATTATATAAGTCTACAAAGTCGTTAGAATTATTGCAGAAGGGTTTCAGGGAGTCTACTTAATCACCTACACAAGTATTTGGATGCCACAAAGCATTCAGCGAAGGTCACATCTCTGTTAGTGACGAAAACATTGAAAACGTTAAAGAAAGATGGCTTCAAAATCGTCGTGTTCACATAAGAGTGATATTAGAGGATCTCAATATTTCTTGTGAATATACTCAATAATTTTGGTTAATGTTTTGGGTATGAAGTGTGTCTATGCTAGACTCGTACCAAAAGATCTGAATTTTTTGCAAAAACAATGTCAAGTAGGGCACTCAGCAATCATCAAAGGCATCATTATTGGTGACAAGACATGGGCTTATGAATATGAAGTCGAAACATAGAATTGTGCTCCAAAAATGAGCCGAAACCGAAAAAATAAACGTCAAAGTCGGTCAAAGAATATGTATTAGTAGTAGTAGTAGGCAGATGAAAGCTGATATTGATGTAAAACATTCCTGTCAATCGAAAATTAAATATACTTCTCCCAATTATCGTAAAATCAGTCTTTTAAACGAATATAAGGTTGAATTTAAAACTTTTTTGGATATATTGGACCCATCAGCGTGGCTTAAAACCCGTTCATTCTAACATTGAGCAGATACTTATCCAACCTTTACATTGATAAAAAGATTGAATAGCTTCTGTTGTCCCTCTGTAAACTTCGAAACCACTTCTAACAGCAGACAAAAATCTGTATTATTGTTCTGTGTAAAATGACTTATGAAATATCGGTAGTTCAGTCGGAATTGAGAACGACATTTCAGAACCGCATATATTTTATACAGATAGTTAGAGAAAATGACTTGACCAGAGTAGGCTTAGCTCTCAGTAACAAATAAATACCGTTATCTCTACTTTCTCAAAGCGAAATATGTCTGACTTAGAAAAAATCAGCTTCTGGTATGAGCTCTCGCGTTGCTGTTCCCAGAGATAACTTCGAAGTTACCCATATTGAATTGTAGAATTAAAATCGAGAACAACAAATCGGCGTTCTTTATAAGTACGATTTTAGACTGGGTAGGTATATAAAAATAACATATGACATATTAAATAAATTATTTTTTTATTATAATTAAATATAAATCTTCCAACAAATGCAGACTGATGAGAATATTCTGGGAATGTTCGAAAGACTATGATAAATAATTTAATATAATAGAGACATTACTTGTCTTGTAGAAAGATCATGCATCATATGTAAATAAGCCGAGTTTATAAATATAAAAACAAGGTGTTTCGATTAACCTTTCTTGGTCGTACTTTGACAAAGAAAAACCGAAGAGAGAGAGAGCTTTATTATTACACTTACATATATGTAAATGCAGACAATAATATATGCCTATATTTTATGGCAAATCATTTTATAATGTTACTTCTTACCCAGCGACCAAATTTTCACCTCCACCAATTTGGTTTCTACATTTGTGTAGAGCACAAAGGATTTTTCACACGACTCACAAGTGACGACATCCACCCATATATTCGTATTCTCATAATGGTTGGCCAACTTTTTCGGTTGCGCCTGCTTTTCTAGTTGTTGTGTTGGCAAATGTTGTTGTTGTGGCGCAACGCTTTTGGAACAAAGGCCACAAATGTAGCGCAGCAACGAGCGCATTGCATTAAATTGCATCGATTTCTTACGACGTAGAATCATGTTTTCTTTAGAAAACTAAAATTATAGTGAGTTAGTTTTATAATATGGCAAAAATCATCGATTGCAAGCAAAAAAAAAATCACAAAACTTGTGTGTGTGTCAGTAAATACAATCAATCAATTGTCGTCCACCTTAATAATGCACAACCACTTTACTGTTACCGTTACTTAGAACGAAACTTGTAACGAAAGCTTTGCCACATGCGATGAACACACGAACTTTAAACGACACAGACACAGTATTTTTGTTGTATATTATTTGATAAAAAGTATTTATTTGTATTTAACTGTAATTATGAAGAAAACTGTAATTTTATTTTATAATCATATAAGTAATTACAGTAATTTGCAATCTGTTCGTTTATTGCCGTTCACTTTCTGTTGTAGAATCACTAATAATTTTTCACAATAATATTGCGATTTCAAACACTTAATGTTAGAAGGGCAGTAAGTCTCGATTATCTTAACTTAATTCCACGTCACTTGAAAATTTCCTTTCGAAAATGCTCGAGCGACCCATTGGCTACCAAAGTTGGTAAGTAAATACGTTGGTGAGTGCTTTCTTTGTTTCATTCTTTATTTCTTCAAAATTTACTTTTGTATAAACATATCTACAAATATGTCTGTATGTATGTATGCATTAACGAATTTCACCTGCGAATGCATTATTTGCTTCTTCAGCTGTTTTTTTTTTAATTCTTTGCGGTCGACCTTTTGTATATTCAGCATAATTATGACATTAATAAGACCTTTGCGCTTAGTGGAAAAATTTAACGATTTGCCTATTGCACTTAGAAAAATATTGTGATTAAATTTTGAAAATAACTCAGTAACGCCTAATTAGTTGAGTACCAACTAATCAATAATTTGTGAGTTCAAATCCCGATCAATGCACAACTGTTAATTTTCTAAAGACGTAGACTCCCACAGGAAGTTTATTATCTCCGGAAGGGACTTTAAGAAAGATAGTTCTATACAATCCGTCGGTACTTAGAAGACAGCTTTTATCTATGTCAGGTCTCGAAATATCTGGAATAGGTACGGCCAAACTCATTGTAAATCTGTGAGCGGTTATAAAATATTCTTATATATATGTTAAATTCTAACTAATCTGACGGCCATTGTTCTAATTAAATTAATTAATTCATATGCAATGACTCAACGAAAAATAATGACAAGGGTTTCCTATTACAAAAATACTTAACTTTCAAAAGCTTTAAGTTAACTTTTTCACTTAATTAATTGTACTACAGTTTTAGTCGCAAACACTTTAAGTTTTCTAATCTAAAACAGGGACATCTCGAATAAAGATCTCTCTAAAACCTTCAGGATGACATTAAACAGCTTTTAACTTATCTTTGAAACAATTTTGCTAATATTTTGTCAAATTAAACTTTTTTGATAGGTGGCAACTTTATTGTTATCTCCGAAAACAATTGATAGAGTATAAGCGGAGGGATATTAAAAAAAAATTTTAAGTGTCAAAATGTAAGCAAGAATCTGAAATTCAATTTGGCTGACCGCGAACATCCAAATAGACTTTAGCCTTGTGACAATATATAAGATTTGGGCGAAAATGAACTGATAGATTTAATTGTAAGGGTCTTGAAGTAAGCGATAGAATACACAGCTTAAGCGTATAGTATGGAAAACATCAAGAATGGAACTATTAGATAAAAACGCTAAACAAGTAAATAATCTAAAATGTCTACAATAAGATTCTTACTTAGGCCGCGATCAAAAATAATAAGACACATAGCAGCAAATATGACACATTTTTATAGCTGTTTAACAAGAAGTACTTGAAATTAACAACAACAACATTAAATACTATTTACTGAAGTTCTGCTTAAGCGCTAAATCAGTTCCCCGCAAAATGTTCTACTTAATCCCTAAGGAATCAAAATTTTATCCGACCATGGACTTTCGATTCGGCAATTTCTATACAGTATTTGGAAAAATTTTTATTCCTATAATCAAAGTTAGTCTAAAAGTGTTTACTTAACTTTCGGTTAGGGCTAATCTGTCATTTAAAATCTGTCAAAATATATGTATCTGTCAGAATATACTATGTATACCAC